TGCGACTGGTCCCAGCGGCAAGTCTTTGAAGGGTTTACACGAGGGGACCGGTAGCAGGGACTAGTCCCTTAAGGCGTTCACATGAGGGCACTCAATTGCACAAGAACATAGGAAAATTAAGAGGCAAAAGATGTTTCTTAGTCTGGTGCGTTACACGAAAACAATGAAACTTTGGTAACTTTTCATTCTAGCACTATTAAACATCAACACAAATGAACTGCACTTATTCAGTCGGATTATTCATGCTTTTACGTGTTCCGTTTTTGTTTTTGTTTTTGTTTTTTTTTATTTTTAAGAGACAGAGTAAAATAGGGTAAAAATTCCATCAAAACGGCTCCAAGACATCTGTATATGTTTACAAAACTAGAAATAGTTTTTTATTCTTCAGTTGTAGAAATCTAGAATTCAGGGAAAATTCATAGAAACTGCAATGTTTACAAATACCGGAAGTCACGCATCATACTGACCCGTGATTGGCTTATTTACTGTTTAGTCGCAGGTATTGGTCGCACAAACAGTTCACACGAAGGGACAAACATTTGTTTCATGCGACAAGTCCCTGCGACTGGTCGCACGGACCAAAGTTTGGTCCCTGCGACCACAGAAATGTGTAGTTCACACGAAGGGACTAGTCGCATGAAAATGGTCGCTGGGACTAGTCCCCTCGTGTGTGCCGACCTTTACATCTTATTTCTACTCTACGTTATCACGTGTTAAAGTAATGGTAACAGCTGTACTGAGTGAAGTGAAGATTCATCGCAAAGCAAGAGTCAGATTGGTTAACTACTTGCATGACTACAGACTGAATTGGACAACATAAAGTCTTTAATTAGGAATTAATCATAAAAATTACAATTTCCAAGAAAAAAAGAATAGCCAACTCATCAAAGAAAAGGAAAATATGCATTGAAAAGTTGACAAAGGAGGCATTAATTGTTTAATGTCACTCGATCTAAATTGAATAAAATCAAAATTTGAATGTGATTCGTTGATTTAAACTACAACTTTGAATGTGATTGACTAATATTGAACTGTCTTATGACAAACTGTCAGATAACAATTTGGCAAGGGAATCAGTGGAAAACAGAAGATTTTTTAAACCATCACCGATTGTGCAATCAAAAAAATTGTGATTTTTATGATTATCATTCTTATTCATGCTGACAGATTAGACCACTTTGCATTAACCTGCTAACTCTCCTGGTTTTCACAGGAGTCTCCAAGTTTTTCATCAAATCTCCCATTCTCCTGGTTAGAGCATGGTAATTAATCTCCCAGGAAATACCTACTGTGGCTTCTTTCAATTTTTTTTTCAATAATTTAGTTGTTTTCAAGATGTCAAAAAAGATTTCGTGCTCTTATTTAAGCTGTTCTCGATCAGAAAACAGAGCAATCAAATTGATATACAATTAAGGTGTAACGGAGCTGGTCAGAAATCAACCAATCAAATTGCACAATTCAAAAATTTCTAGACGTCTCCAGATTTTTGTACTCTGGGGGTTGGCAGGTATGACTTTGTCTTGCTTCTATCAATTTGCTTTAAAAGCATGTTGTACAGGCCAGACAAGCAATTAGACAACCATTTTTGAAAGAGGTACAGGTGTGTATATGCAGACCAAACGAGTCGTTAAAGATGGACACCATTTCATCTAAAACCTGGTGCACTAGCTTTTAATTAATGACTTTCCTATTGGAGAATTAACTATTTCCCTGACTTGATCACACGAACATCTTACTTATGAGAATGGTTAGAATATTATCTTGATGACACAAATGGAAGGAACAAGGTAAAAAGTTCAGATTTCCAATTTGAAGGCTGTACTAGCATTTAAAACTGATGATTAAGGACAGATTTAAGGTTGGTAACTTGAAGTTTGGTGAGCTGAATTTTGTATTGCGAAGGCCTTCAAATAAATATCAGCACATTACAAGGTTTTCACATTTTAGTAAAAAATAGTCAGTCAAAGACTACCCTGCTGGCAGAGGCGTTTATTTGTTAACTTCCCCTACGGTCCACGATAAATAAAGTCCTCTGCGCTCGGCCTGTTAAATCTTCTTTGAGCATGCGCCTGGGAATTATCCAAGTTTGTGGATAATCTGATTTGCAAAACCGGTCAGAACCTGTTTTAAACACGTTTTTATGCGCACACATCCTATTTAGCTACATAGCAAAACCAAGTGTGAGCCCACAATCCCGGTTATTGGCTGAGTGCTACCAGGAACTAATTTGTTTTTAAGCAACAGGCCGCACATGCTCGAAGAAGATTTAACAGGCCGAGCGCAGAGGACTTTATTTTTACGTGGACCGTAGGGGAAGTTAACAAATTAACGCCTATGCCAGCAGGGTAGTCAAAGACTGCATGACTGGCTGCTGGTAAAGCACAATTTTTATAGAATTTAAAGGAATTAGAGGTTGTATTTAATTCAAATGCTAGAAGGAAGTGTTACAAAATATCTGTCTCACATGCAAAACAAAAAAACCTGCTGCAGCCCACATATTTTTGTGCACCCTGTTCCACAAGAGAAAGATGATTCAAGAATTTATAATCCAACTACACTCTGTAGAGCACAAAAATGCTCAAAATGAGTACAAATATCATGCGGTATTTGTACTCCAGAGAACTGGTTAGACAGGTTTCTTGCATCATGCAAGCAATGAATTGGATTGATGAAAAAAAAGCAGACAATTTAAATCATTTTTCTGACGATGAAGAGTTGGAATGGCTGGCAAATATTGATCCAAGTTTAGATAAATTGAATGAAGAAAAGCAGTTGGATCGACGACAGTGAATTTCATCATTTACTGATGATAATAGAAACAGCAGCACAACAACACGCCAATTCCATTCATATACTTTTCATGTGCTCCCCGTAAATAAATATCCGCAGGATTTGCCAGCACTGAAATAACGATTTGGCATGTTGGATAATAAATAACTTATTAGATGTTTTGTTGTGTAGTATCGCTGAGTATTTTTACTTGTCATTTGTATTTTGACTCACCCTACGGGCTCATCAAAATACCGCGGAACTCATAAAAATACTCAGCCATACTACACAACAAAACGTCTTATAAGATATATATAATATTGTCTAATATAATTGACATTCAACCTGTAATTAAATGTAAACAACTTAATTACCATAGCTTGCTCACTTCACGAATTTAGTGACTATTTTTGGCTTAAGCCACTGATTTAAACAGTGAAATGCTCTAGCTCTTATTAAATACAAATACTGATTCCTCAAAGCTTCCATTAGATGTGAAGATCACATCTGTCGAGATACTTCTACGGAGAAAAGTTTGATATATATTATTAAATGCGACGGTGGATGCCGCTTTGAAATTACTAAGATTGTACCTTTTGGATCTATATAATTTGCTGATTCACACGGTAAAAATGCTCTCTCTTTAAAAAAAGAATTTCCTTGCAGTGTCGTGAGGTTCCCTACTTAGATATAATTCTGCGATAAAAACTTTTGCCGTTTCAGTAAAATCGCGCGAAATCCTGAAATGATTGTGAGATATTGCTTGTGGCGTCTTCAGCTGCCCTCCATAGTTTCATGACAAGAACTGAAGACATAAATGTCCTAGTGGCTATGTTTTGGTTCAATTATGTCCTTGGTTCAAATTTTATTTTCCTTTGTTTCAAACTCATTATCATACATTAATATTAACGAGAACAAAGGAAAATAAAATTTGAACCAAGGATGAAATTGAACTACAACAGCTACAAGCCAGAAATTACAAAAGGAAAGAACTCAACTGTATATCGTGTGAAAATGTCGAACTGCTTAAGATAACGAAAAACAAAATAAGTAGTAACACTCACTCATAGTATCACTTACCCACACACTCGCTCATCCCAACAACACATGTGGCTTTGCCATCTGTGGGGGGCAGTTAAGCCACCACAGAAAAATTTTCTTTTGTTTTCGAAATGGTCGTTTGCTTGTACAGAAATCACAAGAACTGATTCTCAGGGTACATTTTAGTCAACCCGAGCTGCAAATTTTAATTCATACTTTTTGGCAGAAAACTGGAAAACGTAATCAGGAATTCGAAAATAGAACTACTTCAATAGCTTGTTAGATTTGATGCGAGTTTCAAAAATGTCCCAAATTGCCCTTGAGATCCTCCGAATATTAACCAGAAATTTACCGGTGGTCTTCTCGTCTTACAGCTATTTGAGTAACTTACATGTCCTGAGATTTTCCGCTTTCTGTCGGCTGTTTTGTTTTCTCCGTGGGTCGCCATAATTTCTTGTCTTTACTTATATCGATAAAATATCAGTGTTTGTGCTGTATTTACCACCTGACTTGTTGCCCGATATCTCACTTCCGGTAAAATACTTAGAATTTATCCGGAAGTAGCCTCTCTCTTACTGTAATCCAGTTCCCTTGAAAACTCGAGAGGAATTATCATATAATTTTCAGCAAAGGTATGTTAAATTGAGAGTTTTTCCTCTTTTGGGTTATTTATGGGAGTTTTGCAGTGGTTGTCGAAACTATAATTTGGAGTCTCATCGTGTTTAATTATTTCACTTTGGCGAGCTTCTCTCCAGAAAGTAAAATTTTAAAATCATTCCTAAAAAAGTGAACTTGTCACCAACCAATATATAGGCTGGCTGTGCGAGCACGGCATAAATGGTGGAAAGTTAATAATCCTCGTGCAACGCTCACCTGGCTTCTCTGCTCTTTTGTAGATTGGTGCAGAGTTGGATGAGGTGATGAAAAGACACACAGCAGTTAAGTGTCTATGGTGGTAGAGGTTGACCTCAAATTGCAGGCCTGAGGAAAACTTTGAGATAGGAAGGTTAATTAATTTGACCTTTGATGAGGATTAAGGTGATCTGCTTGTTTTCTGCTTCATACACTGGGCTGATGTCCAAATTACAATCCTCAGAACCTTTTGGTTCCCTAATGAGAAAGTCATGTTGGTCCTCTGTATGCATGAAAACTTTGTTTACATGTATTCCTCTTGCATGGGGAGGATTCAATAAGTACCTGCATGCAAGTAGGATGGTAAATGCTTTGTACATTCATTATTCATGATTGCATTGCAGGCATGGGTGAAGCACTTTGATCCCACAATGAGAGAAAAAAGGCTATAGCCACTTAACACAAATTAATTGCACCTTATTTTTCCTCAAATGGAGAAAACATTCTTGTAATTTCAGCAACAACTGTTGCATTAGCTTTAGACACATCAGTCAAAACAAAGAAAACTGACGTGATTTGTGAATTCAATTGTCATATCATGGCACAATACTTTGCCATGCAATAAATTCCTTCCTGATCAAGCTTGTTTGATAGGATGAATCCACATCTCACTTTTTATCACTGCCCTCTTTATGGACCTTAACTTTGTCTTGGAGCTGAAACTAATGGTATGCAAACTAATAACTTAGTCAATGCAATGCTCCGTTCTAAGTAAAAAAAACCCTTTTAATAAATTGGCTCAAAAATCATTTTATTAATTCATCTCCCTTCTCAAGAAAAATGGCTTTTCATGAATCTGATGCAGATCTGTGGGGTATTTTTTATCCAAGCATTTGTTAAGAATTCATCACTATGAGACAATTGTACAGTTATGCCCATATATGTATTTGTTGTGCAATTGTTCTTTGGTTCCAATGTATGCTGGGACCTCGTGCTTTCACGGGTCACCACGTTCAATAAACATGTGTTGTGTTGAACTGTCGTGAGTTCTTTCTACGGTTTCTACTAAAAAAATGGTCGTGTGAAAATTGAATTTTATTGTCAATATCTGTCACTTTAGCAACCTGTGTGGAATGTGTTCACTTCTACATACATGTGCTTGTTGAAAATGTGATGCCCCAAATTACATTTTGGTTTTAAATGGCTCCAGGAAGGGGACATGGGGGTTCTGAAAAATGCAACAATACAAACAAAATAGAATAAACACTGCATCACTGCAAGAAATATTATCAACACACCAACACCACGAAAATCTCCTGCTAGCGGATTGTGTGTGTGGTTAAAGGGGTCCAGAGGTCAAGTAAAATGTAAACAAACACTGCCTGGAGTAGAGCAGCAACTCTATATTAAAGATTACCTTGCATTTATTGCTTATTTTGTTTGAAGGTTTTCAAAGGTTTTTCAAAGGTTTTCAAAGGTTTTTCAAAGGTTTTTAAAGGTTTAAAGAACAAACTACAACACCAGTAATAGTTTGTTTCACCGAACACTGCTGAATTGAAACTAAAAACATCATACACTATAAGGTTTGAGATTACTGCAACACTGCAATGCCACCTGAAAAAAAGGGTCAACACTGCAAACCCTAATGTCCTCCTCTAGGCTAACCTGGGTGTTTCAAGACTGAAGACTGTTTCAAGACTGTTTCAAGACTGTTTCTGACTGAAGAAAAACAACCAAAAAGAAAATAAGTGTGTCATTATTACAAACTTAACCCATTGACGTCCAGTGCGCCCGTATGCGCCCATGGGGACCCACACCCTTTCTACGCCTTGTGACGTCATCACTTTTAACCCTGGAGCACGAATTTGAGCACCTACTTGAACAGGTTGAAAATATCTTACAGACGATACCAGAAT